AATATAAATTTTATATGGGTATTGTATTGGGAATAGTGGATCAAACAATTTTTCAAATTTAGGACTCCGCCCTTCCTATAATTTGTGCGCCAGAGTTGGTAAAAGAAAAATTAGATCATGACAAAAACTCAATATTTTAGGGTAATGCGCTAATTATTTGTGCATGTTTTAATGTCCCGTTATGTAATCCATGATTTACAATCTTCGATAACTGTAAGTTTGCTAATGCGTGTTTTCGCGTGTTTTTTGTATTTTTGCAGTTGGAAAAAAGGATGAAATTATACAAGTTTGTGTCCGCTTGTTCTACTCTTTACACATTCAACACTGGAAGGGACAGCGAACAGTTGCTGTAATACCATTTTCTGATGTAGGAATGCTAAATCCTGAAATTTCATGCGCTCTTTTATCCCACCATCTGGTCAACAGTTGCAAATTAGCGCATAACTTTTCGGCGGCTTGAAGCATGGGTCAAAGGAGAGCGGTTTGATTCCAGTCCTTCTCTATCACGTCCCTGATCCCCCTAAACTCCTCTAAAACTGCTACTGTATGGCGCCAAATATAACTTTGGTCCTCCTTGGCGGTTATTGCTAAGCTTTTACCTGCAAAGTATGACCGCAACATAAATCATCAAAAATAGACATGTTCAGGAAACAATTATACTCCAGGAATGATGTAACCTGTTATTTTACAAAAGATATTAAGTAGCCGCCTGTGAGATTTGAACTCACGACCCCTGGTTTACAAGACCAGTGCTCTAACCCCTGAGCTAAGGCGGCTTGCATGCCAGCTGAGTCATTCATATCCATACTATTAGCACGGAACTCTCATCTGTCAGCTGTTGTCATCAAGAATAGTATATTGATTGATTGCTTCCAACCAATTAGCACTTGCTTACGTTGTATTTAATGAGAGTCGTTGATTTTCGTTTTTCTCGGCTTTGTTCCAATAAACCCACAAGTGTGATCAAATATTAGTCAACTGCTGCCGGTTTAGAGAATTTGAAGAGTATTGTAAAGATTAAACACAACCCATTTCCATATAATGTTTTATAAAAACAAAACAAAATTATATACATGACTATGAGATATCTTCAATGTTGTAAATCTTTACTTTCAGTAAAAGCGAAATAATACATCAAAAGCATTGATATTAATTCTTATATTCCGGTTAATTAAAGCATCACGTCGTTTATTTTTTTGTTGGCATGTTTTCTTGTCAGATATAGGAAATTGAAGAAGAAAAAAACATCAATAAGAACTTGATAGCCTAAATCTATTAATGTGAAAATAATCACTTGAAAATAAGTTCTAGGTCATTACTGTAATAGTCTCCATAGATAGGGACTAACTACTCTAAAAACCTAAAAACACCAACAAAAAAAATATGTTTGTATTGCACCATTCCACGTATTTAACAGCTTTAGCTTCCGCTAAGCAGGAAGGGGTTATTTGCTTTGTAGGATAGTGTAGATATTTCCAATCTCTGTCATATCTAAGTCTACTTGACATGATCGCAACTATTTTTTTTAAGTCAGCGGCAATTTTAAGACCCTATACAGAAATCACGTTGGGCTTACGCAATAATAATTATGTGATTCAGTTTGGATTACGCAATATGTGATTGTCAGTTTGCACATTTTCAATACGTGACGCACAAGGCTATTGAAAGTGCCTTAGGTTGATTTTTCGAAAGTAGTTGTTACTTTGTTATATCCCGTGGGAAATGCTAATCTCTCTACTTGAAAAATGCAATTTACAGAATCAGGGACCTTTTTCACGAAACTTATTATCAATAACAATTGTTATTCTACGACACTCAAGTACAATGATTTCAGGAGCTTAAAGCAGTTATTTTAACTTGTTATTGATTTCTGGACCCCTCAATAGAACAGCTGTCCTGTACTAGCACAGCTGAGCAGGGCGATCCATCCAATGTTAGTTTCTCATGCTATCACGTATATTGTTATTTATATGTTTTTAATATTGGTGAGTAAGATCAAATCAAATCAAGGTTTATGAAACAGCACTGAATTTGCTTATAATTATGAAGCATTGACTTAATGGTTTATCTTCCTTGGTGGGTACAATATTGCATGATTTCAACGACCCGAATGATAAGATAACAAACACATACAAATAGACTTGATATTCTCATTGTTTTGTTTTTAATCACATACAGGTGTTTTTCAACGTGTAACTAAACATAAAACGATATACAATCTTTATTCAAATTAGAAGGGTTATCATCTGATGAAATAAATACATGCATGAGTCTTTTATTAAACAATTACTCATAAGATTTATTAATCGGAATTCTTAATATTGATCCCATGAACTTTAGACATTTTTTTTCCAATTCTAATTTGAATAGTACCGCAAATCCTCTGCTATTTTAGTCATTATATACCTTTACCCTTCATCCTGATTAAATTTGGATATCAAAGAAATGTTCTTTCGTCAAAAATTTAGCATCGGCGTTTCAACAGAGATGTTCTAATTCATTTATGTATACAATGTACTACATGTATTTCAATAATATAAATTCTGCATTATATGATAATTTAAAAATACCCTTTTTTAAATTCCATAATAACATCCACAATTCGGTCCTTTTGAAGGTATATATTGAATAAACCATTATGTTGAATGAATTAATGAATTGCCGTTCGATGAATGTGTGAATGTAATATTCGTTACTTAGATGTTGGCAAAGTATCATTATGAATGAAGCCTTAAAATACCTTACTTTCAGAAATGTTACCAGTATGCTTAAAATATTCACACCCATTCTTAAAATCATATTCGAGTTGTGAAGATAAAAATTGGATCGTAAAACTAATGCCAGCGACTATATTTATTAAAAAGTAAAAATCTGTAAAAAATAGCAACGTATTTACTAACCCATTTATGATACACGTGTATATATTACAAACATTTTATTACGGGCATATAATCATGTTTTGTTCTTGTTTAGGCATTGAGTATACCACTAATGTCACTCCAAATAGTACGGGAAAATATAGATTTTCTAAAGAACACATTCCCTATAATAACTTTCGTTAAGCTTAATAACAATGACATCATAAAGAATAAGAACATACCTCAGCCTCAGATTCTTTCCAAAAGATGAATTTGTATCTTAAATAGGTATGAACTAGTGTAATAAAAACTGGCAAGACCCTTTTTAATAACAATTTTAATAAAAAAAATGACTGTGGTAAAACAAGTCTATGTAACATAATTCGTAAATATGAGGCATGACGAATTAAATGCCAAACTTTGAAAATATCCCCCCCCCCCCCGCCCCAACAGAAATTGTTTTTAATTGGGAAAGAAATTTACTTAAAAAACACGTATTTATTTCTCTGAGAGTGACTATATACTTTCAAAACACATTCATTCATAAAACGTGGTCGACACATTGGACAACAAATCTTATTTCACGATTCATCAGTACGTCTGTTGACTAATTATTTCACAATGTTATTTTTTCAGCAACATATTTATCTACAATTTATCGTACTTTACAAATCCCTGAGAAACACATATGTCTCTATATACTGTTCAAACGCATAAGTTACATTTATTTATAAACTAGCGGCAGAGTATTATTTACAGTGAGAGTAGAATGAAAAATATCTTTTTCCTTTACCTAGACGGTGAATGTTAAAATGATCTACAAAATGTACAGAAATAAATACAGAAATAAATAAATTAATAAGTAAATAAATAAATAAATAAATAAATAAATTAATTAATTAATTAAAAAATGAAAATAAATACATGTAAAAGAACACCTAAACTGTAAGAGGGGCACCCCAAATTTAAAGCGCGAGACCAGACTAAATTTTCATCTGAATAATTCAGATCCCTGACCATTCACAAATATGGACTCGGACAAAGTCCCGCACAGAATTCAACACTCTACATTCATCAAAATTAATGCAATACCACCCAACAACAAATGATTCAACATGATAAGCGAATACACATTTTTTTGCTCCACTCGTATAATGTCCAACATGGTATTTATTAAGGACCTTTCATAAATGGACCATGAATTTAAGTGAAGTGGCGCATTAAAATGTGTATTTTGAAGGATTTTTTAATTAAGTTAGTTTTGGAGATCTTTATATATCTCTATATATAGATACGCCATTTCATGAAATGTTTTATCCTTATAAGTGAGACATTAATTTCGTAGTGCCCGAAACTGCGAATCCTGTCACATTGAACGATAACGCATGCAGCGCGTGGTGTTAAGTTGCAGACGATATAATAATGAAGTGTATTTTTGGCGGGAATTCGTCGTGGTTGCAGAAAGTGCAATGTCCTCAAGGAGTTCGACCTTCTAATAGCTGAAATACTTTGACTTTAACCTCATCTACCCTTCCTTTTTGTTCGTCTGTTAAGAGTACAAGTTATTTTTAGGATTTTTACAGACCCACTAAAAATGAAATTGTCTTGATATAATTATGGGGCCAACGGAAAACTCAGGTGCAAGAATGTGACAGATATAGGTCACTGTCAATCTAACTATTTTCAAAGAAGTGTATGCCTTTATATATGAGTGATATGGTTTCTAGGGGAAAACTGTGAAGGATTGTATAGACACACAAAGTCCAATTATTTTGGAGAAAATGTATATTATGAATCGCTATTCTAACAATAAGTATACGTAGCATTTAGTGTACCCGTGACTATTTCAGTACAAAACACTTTTAAAATAAACCTTTATCGGTACACCTAAAATAATTGGAAACGCATCCTAAACACTCCAGGGGGTGACTCTAAGTCGAACTTAACTCGAAGTTGGACTTAAATATTATGGAGAGCCATTTGTAGCCTTATAATAAACTATATTCAAAAGCAAAATTCAAGTATTTTAGACTTTTCATCAATTCCACATCAAGAACATGAACTCTTCCATAATAGAAAATGAATGATTTGAATCAACATTTTATGCCTTTTAAAATAACTTCTACAAAATATTTTCAAGGATGCTAATGGCTTTCCATAATTGTTAAGTCCAACTTAGAGATAAGTTCAACTTAGGATCTTTGTGAAACACCCCCTGGTATCTTAACTTAATATATTACGAAGAAAATATGAACAGAATACTCCTCGTAAGATACCGTATCAATGTTCATACAGGTATTATCATAAACAGCAATAACATCAACATCGGTTATCATTCGAGGTAGTTTAATAATCTTAGATGACATCAAAATAAAGCGTAAATTATATCATCGTATATTCACATCTTTAAGGTATCAATCCTCCGACAAAAATATAACCTCAAATTCACTCTTGATATGACAATCTAATCATGAAAGAAAAAGGACCGTAGTTTTTATTTTGTTGTTCAAACAACATTAAATAAAATGGTTGCTCTCATGGGTGAATCTGTACGGTAAAAGTTTTAGATTGGTGTAAAGCTTTATTGTATTGAATGTATCAGATATTTATATTTTGGCACATTGTGATTAATGTAACAATGAAAGCATTTCCAAAAATAAATTAGACTTGAATTTATCAAATGAGTAGTATTGAGTAATATATGTGGCGTAGCTACCGGGGTGTTACTTGCCCTCTTTTCAATTGTGAAATGGGAAAGGGGAGAAGAGACAAGACAAAAACGAGAGAAAGAGTTTGAAAGACAGGGAGAGAGGAAAGGCAAGATGAAACAATACGGCCCCTGCCACACACTACCATTACAATATTGCCTTGTTCTCTCGTCTTTCACCCACCTAACATTTATAGAGCCCCCCCCCCCCCATCACTGCTACTACACCAGTGCCCCCTCCCCCATAATGACTGGATCGATGCTAGCTGGTATATAATACCTTATTCTCAATCACCATCATTAATTAAGACAGCATAACTTGTTGTTCAGAAGTCCCGAGCTTCATCGACCTGAGATAGGAAAGTCTGCAAATCTGGAATGTCTGTGCATTCTCTGTCATTATTGGGTTGTCTGATCTGATTGTACCTGGTCCAGTCACCCTTGCATATGATCCAAGGTAAGATGTCGATCTTATAATGAAGCTCTTGAGAGATCTGTGAGGTGATGAGCTGAGGCGTACCGGCCCCCTGCCCTCGGGTAATCAATCTCTGATTGGAGTCGTAGCAGCACTGCTGCGAGGCGAGTGACGTACTGTGGTAAGACCGCAGAGACTGGATGCAACTCTGGGCGGTAGGCTTGTAGATATCCAGTCGGGTCGCCTCAGGGTCTTGCTCAATCCAATGAAACTCCCTTCCCTGCTGAGGATCTACGATGGCGTTGTTGGTAGGGAAGTAGCAAGGACAGCTAGGGAGGTCATCTAGATGTGATAGGTAAGACACCAGCTTCTCACTGCGACACTGCATCCACTCCTCACAGCTATCTGAAGATAAAAAAAGAAACAAAGAAAGGTAACAGTCAATCACTCAGATAGTGTACAAGTGAAGATATATACAATAACATTTACTTACGACAACTTTCACATCATCGGCTCATCACTGGATCGGCCATAACCTAGCACCAACAAGCAGAACCTGTTGCCATAAGTTTTACAGATTCGTTTAAACAATGACTTTGGCAAAGGGATATTCATGAAGATAAAGACATAAGACAATTTGTTGAGATTTGAAGAAAAAAAATGTACATGTCAATCAACCAAACTACTAAAACATAAATATGTTACCTTTAATAATCTGTATTCTTATTATGAATAAATAACAACATTTTTGAAATCCGAAAATTAATCATTCGCACACACTTTATTGTATCGTCCAAGAGGAGATGGGCCGATAGTTCATATCATTGAACGAAACGATCCTTTTCCAAAGGTCATTGAACACCTACTTCAACCAGGTATACCTCATTACTATTAAATTGAAACTAAAACCAAGTACATACCAAATGCCCTTTTACCTTCCCGCTTAGAACTAATCGTCAGTCAATGAACTTCAAACCTTCCCTCGACATATTTTTTCGCTACCCGCGGTCCTTAGCCCAATTTCCCTCGCAACAAAAACATCCGTTTGTATTTCTTCTGACCCAAATTCGACGGTTTATTTATGATTCCTTCGGGCGATCAGCCAACCCTGATATATTTCGGCTGCTCTCAAATGAAGCAATGAACTTCAGGGGAATGTATTACAGCCGATTAAAATTCATTACCATGTTCAGACATGAAATATTTGACTCGAAGCTAAGACACAAATATAAGGGCAAAAAGGCGGGGCGGATGTAAAATGAACCAGACATAAATAGGGTGACACTCGTAAATTTTATTGGAAAAAGGTCTTACCTACGTGTAATAAAAAGGCATATATATCTTCAGTATTTACAGATATTCATATCATGAGGTTTCCCGTGAAAAATGTTTAACTTCGCATTGAAAGAGGCCTATTACTATATTAATCAATATTACATCATGTGCATTTTGTAAGCTTACCGAAGTCAGAGTTGTCAATGGCGTCGGCGATTTCGTCGACGACATCGATGGTGAATCCCTGGTTAATGATGAATCCCTGATTGGACCTCGTCGCGCTTGGAAGGTCACTCGCAACGAAATCGTTCTCTGATTCGGACGTAATGGAGGACCCTATAACGTGAAACAAAAATATATTAAAGTAGGTATTTGTCATTTCAAGAAATAAACGCTGGTCAACACGTCAACATAAACTAGAATAAGAAATCAAGAGTGCGGATCAAAGATCAGTAAATCGCAAATAGCGTTTGAAGGCTCAGGTGCTAATGTAGACGAATCTATTCAACTACATAAAAAATGTTGACTATTATGCATTAAACGATGAAGTGCAGTTAAGAATATTAAAACATATCAGTGTTACAACATAGATACTCCTTCAAACAAACTTTCTCTATCTAAATGAGATTTGTTTTGTCGAATACCAAATGATAGCAAAAGCAAGACCATTGTGGCAACCATAGTTAGGCAAGATGCAAATATTTCCACCTCTTTCATGTCTTTAATTTTTTTGTCGCCAAATTAAAACGACATCGGACATTCTCTCAACAAATACAAGCTTATCAACTCTGTTCATCATGCGATCAGGATATTCCCCTCACTAAACATGAAAAACCTATAAAATTTTGACCAATCCCTCTTCATAAATATAATTGTCATTGCATGTCTTTGAAGCAGCGTTGTTTTTCCCCATTTACCAAAAACAAATAAGTTGAATCAAACGAATGAAGATCGTCCACCTACCCGAGCATATGTGTTTATTGCACTCCTGTCTTTCTGTGGTACGACACTGCAACCCACAAGGTCGAGTTCGTTCTCTCTTTCCTCCACCGCACGACGTGGAGCATGATGACCAGGAGCTCCACTCGCCAAACCCGGCTGCCGAAGACTCACCTACAGGATATCAAGGAAAGAGGAGCAGAACAAATAGTATAGTGACGATAAGACAATGACAAAAATGGAATCGTAAATACCAAGAGGATGGGCAGGTAGAGGAAACGGAGGAAAATAGTGGGAAACCCCCTAACATGTAAAAAAAAAAGAAAAAAAAAAAAAAAGAAGGTGGTGGCGTATCCAGCTTTGGTCGTAGCCGGCATACGCTCCCCTCCCTCGTTCGAAGGCCCCTTAAAATGAATAAACACGTGCAGAGTGTATTTGGCGCGGGCTAGGTAGATTCATCCCACCATTTATACATTCCTGGATACGCCACTGTGAAGGATATAAGATTTTATATGATTTCGTCCGCTGAAAACCAGAAGAGCATTAATATTACTCCATAGAGTTAATGAACTCCTGACCCTCAATTTGTGCTTAGCAAATACGATCGCAAAAATGAACTTAAGTCAAATCCAATAGCTTTTAGTGGTCTATCTTGTGAAGATGCGAACATACAATTCGGATTACGTAACCGGAACATGGATTTGGACATGGACATGATTTCTGCATGACTATATGACTTGATTTTCAAAATTCTTTGCGACGATGATAGTATAAAACATAAACAACAAAGGGGCCTCCAACCGTGGCTGTCTATTTTTTTTTCTCTGAGGGGTCCATAAATGTTTACAAGATTTGTCCTGATCAGGTCACAGTGAAAAGATAGTGTGGCCGAGGTGCCTCGGGGTTAGAGGAAACCATCGCTATGTCAAGAATGCCACCTTAAATGACCGCTACACCCACCCATTTAAAACTCCATCATACTGAAAGGTAAAATATCGCGTCCATTGTGATTGTTTTATTTATGGTAAGTCGGTATAGGTCAGAATGCGTTGCAGAATACTCCGCAAAATCATCGTTTGGAATTGTTCAGAAAATAATCACATAAATGTTGTTTGTTTATCTTGAATATTAATTTTAACGGTTAGATGGCATTCAATGTGTCTTTCTTTCATCTATTTGCTGGTATAGTTATCAAACAAAAATGTTATTTAGCATTTAGATGTTTCTCTTGTTTTGCATATTATTTGAGTACTGACGCCCTTTATAGCTATGTTACTTTTAAACTCTATTCTGACGTACGTATACGTACGCACTATTGTGAAACGCACGATAATCCCTGCATTAATTTCACATAAATTGTTCTTGAAAACAATCAACTGCTTTACACTATAACAAAAAACCCAAATGTGTGATTAGGAGAGGTTTGTTTCCCCTTACATGCACATATAGTAGAAACACAATGTGCAGGGGAAATGGAGAAAGCTTCCGGTTTATTAAACCACACAGTTTGTCTAGCCGATTACTTCCTTAATAACAAAAGTAAAGTTCGTCGGGGGCAGACGAGTATTGACATGACAGAACTGGCGTTCAAATTAGACGTATACTAGACTACTCTGAAATACAGACAGGAAATGTTTGGTGACGAAGGAATGTAAAAATGACGCCTTAATTCAATGCAAAAACGACAGTGAACAATACCATTGTTTACACACTAAACACAAAAGTGATTGCTACGAAAATAACTAGTGCGAAAATAAACCAACATCGGCGAGAAACTTGTCGGAAGTTGGTGTTCGGCGGAGACCCGGATAGACTTTCTAATTTTGCTTGAAAGAACTTATATAAAGCAATTCTCATAACCAAAGCTTTCCTTCAAAGATATTCCTACAAAATACCCTGTAATAAAAGTATTTTGCACTTAAGTTCTTTTCCCGGTATGGTGTGTGCATTTATTGTCTTAAATGGGTCATTATCGGAAATGTGATGTCCCATGGTTTTATAATACCTTCTAAATTTAACCCGTTTGACTGAAATATATAAATATCAACAGTTAGATGTTGTATGAATAAGAGACAAAACCGTGATCTATTATTTGTTGATAACATCCATAATTAATGATTGATATGAAATGAATAGACATGGGATAACCGGTTTGAATATCGATGGAGGCTGCATAGCCGATGTTTTCCCCTCTCCCTCACTACAATTTAAATACAGAACTAAATTAGTTTCATACCATTTTCTCCGTCCATATATCCCGTGTTTCTGATGAGATGAAAGAGTGTCATATCAAAGTAACTTGAGGTATTTCCATTATTATTTTCCGATTGGCGTGACGGTTTCTGGTTCCCCTTTCCACGATTATTGTTTCGATGATTTTTTCGTCCCTTGCCCTTCCTCCTCCCCGAATCCCTGACCCGATGGTCGGACGGGGGCGGAGAAGGAGGTCGTGGATTCGAAGGCCGATCGTCACCCGGCAACCGATTATCTATCTCGGCCGCATCCTCCTCTTCGTCATCGTCGTCCGTCACCACCTCAATGGTGATATCCAGGTCTGGATTAGGCGTGATGAGATTAACAAATCCCAATTCTGGATTTGAGAGAGTGGCCAGCTCAGCCAGTCTTTGCATAGATCTCAACTCCTCTGTCCTTATCATGGTATTTGCTTCTTTCTTACTCCTCATCTCCATCACTGAATCTTCATCTTCTTCTTCTTCGTCCTCCTCCTCGTCATCATCATCCATAGGATAATCATCATAATCATACGTATAATATTCATTCATATCAATAGAAAGATCGGATTGTGACGTCACGTCTGTTCTGACATCGTCATCCCCTTCCATGATCCCTTCCACGTACGCATGCGTCACACCGGCTTCGCGGTCATTCTCTTTTTCACCTACAGGTTTAGATAAAACTAGATTTTTCACGGTGCTCGTCCTTTCACTTTCACTTTCTAATTTCCTACTGCTTTTCCCTGAAGTTCTGTCGTTGTGGTCCGACAAAAAGTTATCACTGAGTGTTGTCGTCATTCTGGCACGCTCTGTGCTACCTATCCTGGCTTTTGAGGGTTGGGCATCGCGGTATTTGTCTCGGATGTTTAAATGCGCGTCTGTTGTGCTCTCTGGTACAGCTCTCCTTTGAAGATGAATCTTGAGAAATAGCAAAAAGAAAATTGAACAAGAATGAATTTCTCATCGTCCACGGGGGATTGGGAACAAGTCAAAGGTGGCTCTTCCCAGTCAATTTGAGGCAGATTAATCTAGTCGTGACAGGGGTGACGAAACATAACGCTCACTTTGGGGCAATTTTCTTATGTCATTTTTACCATATCCGGAGACCTACCTTCTGGACATCCACCCCCGGATAACCACCCCCAGTCAACTACCACCTAGGACAGGCGCGGATCCAGCCGGCGGCAGGGGAGGGGGCCGCAGAGGGGGCCCAATTCGTGAGAAAATTCTGAAAATATTTAGCGCCGACTCAGCCAGCCGGGTGGGGGGTGGTAAGGAGCACCAGGGAAGGGGGGCCCGTTTACAAATAAAGGTAAAATTAGAGTGTTTTTACTTGGTTTTTTCCCCAGGGGAGGGGGCCCGGGCCCCCTCTCTGAATCCGCCACTGCCTAAGGAAAACTACCCCCGGACAACAACCCCCAGGACAAGAGGACTAGATGATGGTTGTCGTAGGGGGTAGTTGTCTGGGGGATAGTTGTCCGGGGGTAGTTGTCCCGGAGGGTAATCGTCCTAGAGGGTGTTGCCCTAGGGGGTAGTAGGGGGTAGTTGACTGGGGGTGGTTATCCGGGGGTGGATGTCCAGGGGGTAGGTGTCCTAGAACCCATTCTTACATTTTTAAAAAACCCATTGATGAAAATAATGTCAATATTTGGGACACGAAATATATGGGGTCTTTTTCACTTGAAAGGAATCTAAACAGTAGTGAATTAAATTGAATAGAAACTTTTAGCACAATCGCAAAAATTTTCGAGAAAAAAATATCCTCAATTTCTCGAAAGTCTTTGCGATCATTTTTGGTGATATAAAGTTGCGTCATACATACCTGCAATGGAGCGACTAGTCCAGGTATTACAATGACCCAACATGTCATAGCAAAGATAGCAAGAGGCAGCAGGTAAGGCCATACTGACGTAATGTTCATCGCCATAATCAATTGCCTGACGTTGCATCACAATTTGATCTAATCACCACCATTTCTCTCACAATGTGTGCTGCTCTTACTTCTTCCACACCCACTGAAGAATGCTTTAGACTCTTCAAACTTATATCCGATAACGATCAAAGAATGGCGATGAATTATCCAAGATGAGTAGTTTTGCTTGGTTATAAATCCTAAGGATGATGAATTAGGAATTCTCCGTCACAATGTCTCATTTTCTGTAGTAAATAGTTCAATGGCAAATGGAAGTTATGATGTGTAATTCTCCAATAATCCATGTTGTGCACTTGCGAAGGATGATTATATTCGTCACCATCATAAGCATGTTCCTACAATGAACTGTCTTTCATCCTGATCATGGCAGTGAGTTGGGCAGAAACCAGCTGCAAAATGTTGTCAGCAAAGGGCGGGTAGGCTCCAAGGGTAGATGAACTGTGTTAGACGAACCTGAAGGAGAAAAGAGCAAAATTTGAACATACGTAAGAAAGTTGTTTGATTTTCAACTTTGAATCAAACGCTATTAGCGGTATGTACTACAACAGGAATGTTTCTGTGGATAAATCATTTTTGAAACGTATCAATAATGCAATACAGTGATGTATCCAAGCATCGTGAAAACTCACACAATAGTTACCACCATACATGAATCTGAACCCAATTAGCTGCTACTTTTGTTTTGTTTTGGTCTTGGAATGGATTTCTTAAATTGACATTGGAATCGGTAACCACTGAAATGCTGCAACGGTTGATAACGCTTATTGTTCCTGTCAAATTAGACGTTCCATTCTCCCACCAAAATAACGGTCAGCCTACTCCATCTCAAAAAGGTACGAATCAGTCGTTTATTACCAACAACGCATCTCACAATTATTTAGACCATTTGCAAAAGAATAAAACCGCATTCAGTTTTAGATGTCTAAGCACTTGAACCGACCCCCATTACTAATACCAAACTAGAAGATAGGTGAAAGTGGTCTACTTGCGACCCGTCGACTATCCTGTCCTCCGCGGCGGACCCGTTTGATGTCGGTTCAAGTGCTCGTTTTCTCGACACGCCCGATACTCGTTATGCGAGGTAAAATAGCGCAGATTACACGCATGCTTGTACGACGCTTGACCTAAATCATGGTGTTGAGTTATACAAGGGGACATGGGTTTATTAGAAAGGTGGTAAAGTTAACCGTGATGTACATACACAAGGTCCAGTTATAAGGTATCCATTATGTTTCAATATTTCAATCGTCCATGACAGCATTTTAAAATATTATCCCCGAAAGCGCAATCTGCGAAATCATCTTGTTTATCGCTTCTTACATCTTTGTTTGGAACCGAAAACACATCCCAGAAGATTTTACTTGAAGGGGGGGGGGGGGGGGGGGGGGTCCTACCTTAATGCCTTCCATTTGCCAATAAATTGTATAGTAATCACTTAGTCAGTTTCTCGAACTGTTACTATCTTCGGTGGTTCAGTGGAGTTGAATGAAAGTGAACGTGAAGAAAACTTGTCTTTACTACAGACATATACTTCTAAAGTTGTCTTGCATTTTGTCTGAAGAGGGCGCAAACTCATGCTGTTTCCAGCTGTGTTTCCAGACAAGAATAATAGAAAATTAACGATTCTGAAGTATTTACAAGAATCATACAGCAGTATATTTGGTGGCTCCGTATAGATAGCTGTCGAGTGCACCACTTAGATTAAGGCAGTCATATATTATAAAATAATGAAACGGAAATGAAATAATCCCATGATTGTTTATAAATGCATGTTTGCTGTTACCATGGTAACTGTAGGGAATTTCCAGCTTTCATGAGCACTTGATGAGAAAGTTATGAGCGTTATCATGATGGCATTGACCGCCAAGTCGAATCACTTTAGGTATGAATGTAAACGATGTTATCATGTCCAACACGTAAATATTGTACCCTGTTTCGTCTTGCAATAATATAGTTATCTAAGAGATGTGAAGTTGATGTACTTCAGTATCTGTTAAAGGGCACATCGAAAGGAGTTCAATTGTTGATGTCAATAAGTAGAAAGAGTTCACTTTTTGCCACGAAGTAGGGTGGAAAAACAATGGTGTTTATTTGAGCCCTAAGTTTTCCAATAGGAATTTGAGCAATAATCACTCTGATATGCATTTCTAACACTTTTTTGTTTAGAGTGGGAAAGAGATTATAATGTTTGAAAGTGGAATGGGGCATATGCGCTGTGTAACCCAAATAAGCATAAATCGACCATAATAAAGTACCATGGGCGTATATTGGGTGGGGTGGGGGCTGATTGGACGCAGCCCCCCCCCCCCCTAATTAAGAAAATATTATTCGGGCAGGAGAGTAGCCTTTCTTAGGAAACACAGCGCTCCTGTCAGTAACTCTGGAGGGGAAACATTTGGCAGACAATCACAAATCCAACAAAGGAGATTTTGGCCAAGAATATTACACCGCCTTAAACATTCTATTAGCATGGTGAAAATCCAAATACTGTCGTAAGCCAGAAATCGGCTCTCATCGAATACAAACCGTTAAATTTCCACAGAACACAGCGAGTAGGCAGAAAGAAAGGAAAAAATTAAGGGCGAGACCACTGGGACTAAAAACCCAAAGTTGCCCATTTCTCACACTCTCGCACCAATGGCTTTTTGTCATCGGGTGCATGAATGCTGCCCCGCCTGACCGCCGGGCTGCCGCCATCCCTGTTGACCGACGGTTTGGCATCGTGTGATGAGAATTGAACACACTCTTTGACGCCGCCGTTCGCTCGCTATTAATTCCGATATTTAGGGTTCCTTCTTTGCCGTGCCCATTAGCGAGTATGTTTGTATACAATAGATGGATTCCATACAGATAATGGAGTAGGGCGAGAGGACAATTTGAAATTACTCAGCCTAGTTTGATGGATGCCAGCCTTGACTGTGACGTTCCATGTCAATCATCGTTAACTTGCTCTTAAAGGGACACACTCGCAACGGTCGATGTAAATCAAAGCAACATTTCCATGGTAGCATGAGTCTACTTTTCTAATGTGTATACCTTTAATAAATACAATTTTGAGATTGTAGCGAACCGAGTAATATACTTCGCTTTGACAGTTTCAACAATAAATACTATACAAACAATGTAGGCCTATGCAGATTTAATGGCGCTACAATAAATTAAGTTAACTAACACGCTTTGTTCTGATAATAATTATGCTTCCACAACAGTTACTGATTGAAAATGGCAATCACCAAACATGATATACAATTTCCACCGTTATATAAGTATTTGATAACGTCTTGTCTTAGTATCAAGTTATAAAGTTGAATTTACATGAACTACTGTTAACCATTGAGGTGATTTAGCTATTACCAAAACAAAAGATAAGCCTAACCAGTTAGTAAGAATGCTAAAGTGCTTCCATTCGCGATACTGCTTGAGGACATAATCACACTTAGATGTGAAAAAACATTGAACTAAGTAGCAAACATGAACCATGTTACGTTCCGCCGTTCCTCTTTTGGCTGCCATCCAAGAATCCTAGTCACGTGATCACGGTGGTGGAGTGTAGAAGGCGCCACGAGGTATAGGAAGCTGCCTCAAAATGGTCGTGGAAGTGAATGGGAGCCAAAGAATTACTCCAATAAACACAATCAAGAAAGGAAACTCAACACAGCTTATGTGGGGACATTTTAGTCTCTATTTACTGTAAAAAGTTATACAGCCGCAGTACTTTAATTTAAATCCGCTATGTTAGGGATCATTTCGGCGTGGAGTTGAATCCCGTCCAAAGTTTAGTAAAATACCATCCAGAGATGTGATTACAATTACTCTTTCAAGAGTGTATTCAACTACTTTGAGCGTGAATTCCCACTCCAAATCGAACTCCCAGAAAAGTGGATTTCCACTCCTAACAAACACAGGCCTATCAAAGAAAGGGTAAAACGGTAGTTTTAGTCAATTTCATCGCATTAAAAGGCAAACATCGTCTTTAAAAGCACAAATGATTATGAGAAGATTTTTTTTTCGAATTACGCTCTGTATATATATATATATATGCGATGATGATTACATACACATTTGAATGATAATAATTCAGGCCTCGAATTACATCAAATTTGGGTCAAGGCCACTTTTTTGAGAGGGCACAAATCCACTGAAAGGGGCACAAATCTATCCTAAGGGGCAGTAAGGCCAACATGGAAAGTGCGCGTAAAATCACCTCACGCCGTTGTTTTCAAGGTGGGGGGAGGGGGGATATGTGCACCCAGGGGCGGATCCAGGATTTCTTCCTTGGGGGGGGGGGGGGGGGGGGGGGGGGGGGCCATTTTTTTTTTTGTCCCCCCAAAAAATCGCAACGACTCAGCCAGCCGCTGAATAAGCGGGGGGGGGGGGGGGGGGGGGGGGGGTAAGAGGACACTTTTTGTTTTTTGGTCTCAAAATTTGAAAATTTGACATTTTGTTCCCTTTGGGGTGGGTGGGGGGGGGGGGGTCACCTTTTTAGATCAGCCATTGGCATAATTTTTTTTGTGTGTGTGTTTCATTTTAAAAAAAAAAGGGGGGGGGGTTTGCTCCAAAATACAGACATAAAAAAAACCGAAGGGGGGGGGGGGTTTTAACGCCCCAACCCAACCCAACCCCCAACCCCCCCCCCCCTGCGTACGTGCCTGCTCGTCTGAATACAGTTCCCCTCCCTCCGCGCAAAGCGCGGAAGCTTTTACGTTTCATTAAATCATTTTTTTGGGGGGGGGCGCCCCCACTGCCCCCGGCTACGTGCCTGCGGTCAGATGAACATCTTTTGATACCTTGTTCGCCCCCGGAAACTCATGGGTTGAAGGCAAATTACGGTCAGATAAGCATTCAGGGGCCCGCCTTAGGGCCCCTGGTGGAGTCGAGGGTGCGGAAACCCCTGAATTTCAGGGGTTTCAGGCATTTGATTACGGTCAGATGAACATATTTTTATACCTTTTTTGTGACACTGGCAGGATACTGATTGGCTTAAGGTCCAGTGGGCGGAGCCCCCAGAAGCCCATGGGTTTAAAGCATTACATTACCGTCAGATTAGCCTCCAGTGGGGTCCAGGGGGCAGAGCCCCCGGAAGCTCAGGGGTTTAAGCATTTGATTACGGTCAGATGAACATGTTTTTATACTTTATTTGTGACACTGGCAGGACACTGATTGGCGGGCGGAGCGCCCAGAAGATCAACGGTTTTAGGCACTAAATTGCAGTCAGATGAGTATCAAGAGGCCTGCCAAAGGGCCCTGGTTGGGTCCCGGGGGCAGAGCCCACGGAAGCTCAGGGGTTTTAGGCGTTTAATTACGATCAGATGAGCGATTTTTTATACCTTATTTTGTTGAGAAACTGGTAGTTAACGTTTTTTCTTTCTTGCTCTCTTTCTTTCTATTTCTCTTTAAAATGCTTTTCAAAAAAAATAATTGGGGGGGGGGGCTGGAGGGGGGGGGGGGAGTTT